TATGAAACGCACCTGGTGAATCATAAGGACCTTTACATTTTACTCTTTTTCAACTTCTCTTGAGTGAAATGTCTTTAATATTTTCTATTAGCCTCTCTTGGCTAACTCTTGTTTCTTTCTACCATAAATGGCGATTAGGTTTCCGAAAGCAAACAGATCTATATTTCTTTCTACTGCATACTTTTCCCCGACTCAGTATAGGCGGTATAACCTGGACACATCTCGCACCAAGGAAATGTTGTTGCTATCTCCAGGACCACTACCCCCTAAGGCTTGTCTTAGAGACATGCACAAAAATGTCATTGCTCTCTGCTACGACAGTCACATAATCATGGGATTGGAATGCAGCAAGTGCAGAATGGATGATGACTGTATCTGCATCAGATTTAGCCTAATCGACAATAAAACCTACTTCTCATAGAGAAGTTTTGAGAAGGTCTATTCAGTTTGTTTTGTTCTTTTCGTTACCAAGAAATTTATCTTGGAATAATTTTGTTACCGTGCTCCTATTAAACTTTATCTCTGTCGATTGCTGCTCTTTCGTGCGATGTAAGCGCACGATCTGGCGAAAGTTTTGTAGTGGTGAAAATAATTCGTTTTTATCGTGTTTTTACGATTAATCAAGAACCCGGTCAATTTCGGTGCGCTATAAAACGCACTAGATGCTATAATGAGATTATACAAGTTTGTAGTGAAAACTATTCTTTGAAAAATCCTCTATAATATTGTTTTGATGTTATTTTATTATAAAATTGCTAGAAAAAATGTTATAGAGCAAAAAAGTGCTCTATAACATTTAGACTTTTTTATTTTACGATGAAAAATAATAGGAATAAAGTTATGGACAATTTAATTTTAAGTTGTTGCAAATTATTTCGATCGGAAAAATATACTATACTGAAAAATATTTGTTGAAATAAACTCGACAAACTATTTAAATTATTGGTTAAATTGTTTTTGCGCTTTTATCTTTGTGGTTGTTTAACCTCTGATATCTTTATCATAAATAGTGACTTCAATCAAAATATATAGTTGCGAAATACCACAACAATAAGTGATTAAATCTTTAGCAATTTTGGTTGGTATTTATGTGCTGGAATAAATGTATCCCCTTGTATTTGTGTTTATATAAATCTCATGATCTATAATTATATAGTTATTGTCGTCACTATTTCTATATTTTTATTTTAATTATATATTATTCACTCAGACAACTTGAAGTTACATATTAAATGTTTCAATTATTTTTATTAAGAATTATTTGTATTGGCGTCGGAATCTAGATCCACTGAATATCTTATAAATGATGTAAATTCTAAATTTTTATTCTGATGATATTTAAACGGACGCAGTTATAGGAATTACAACGCTGAAATGTAACTGGACAGAACATGTTGCCAGAGTCAAAGACGGAAGACGGATCCAGAAAACTTTAGAATGGGGACCTAGACATGATGCTTATCGTAATAGAGGACGTCTTCCAATAAGGTGATCTGACGACATTAACATATCCAGCACAACTGGATTCAGGATGCTTAAGATCTGGGTTCAAACCGATTAATGATAATAAAACTTATACAGAAGTTAAAACACTTCACATTTGCATTTAGGTATAAAACACCTATCGTTAAAACTTTTAAAAAGTGTCGTAAAATTTACACAATAGCATAACGTGACGTTTTCGATCTAATCAGATCATCTTCAGTGCCTTCTTATGTAATTGAAGCTAACACTGAATTTGTAGCTGTGACATCCATATATGGTTTTACATTATTCCAAATTTAAATTATACTGTGACTTTAGGTCGATGACATTGGATAAAAATTAATACTTGAGGAGTTACCTTGCTATGTCTCCTTGCTCGGTTTAAACACGTGGTTTTTGTCAGTTAAAACGACACAGACCCACTGATTAATGATAATAATCATGATTTAAACTAGGTTTACTCGTATGCCAAGCAATAAATCTTAGTCAAAAGAATCCTAATCTATCGCTTATACTCTAGTTAATCTCTGAGTAGAAGGATTGGCTCTTGCCAATCTCTTTGACAATTCGGTACTGACCCGATCTATGATAAATTTATCAAGTACCATGCACAGATCACTAAAATCTACACTGAAAGCTAAATAAATACTGACCATAATTCATGACGCTAACGTTTTGTTTTGTTTGAAATCTGTTTGTGGGTGGGTGTATATGCTCAAGTTATTTGGATTAACAGTTATTTTAAAAGTTAACCCTTTAAAAGGTATGTTGAATAAGTTTTTAATTAAGCCACATTAAAAAAAATGGTGTGATTGAAGGATTTCTTCATAGTGATGTAACTCCCGATAGCAGGAGGGCCACTTTTCACTTTAGAGGCATGGGCATAATATCGACTGAAGACGCATACAGCTATCCTCTGATAGCACGCTCTCTGCTCCACAAGCTTGTGTTAATGTCAGCTTTCAACATGTCAACAGCTCGTTTAAACCCAACAATCCCATATACTTGGAGAGTTTGTGAATTCTTGGCTCTATCTCAGCAATATGATTGATAATAACGCTGTTTGTCCTACTTATTTACATTGTTAACGAGATCTTGTGATCAGAAACCGAGGGTTTCAAAGTCGATAGCAGCTCTTTAGCTCACTTCAGCCGTTGTCTCGGTTCTTTGTTGTGCCGGCATAGGCATAGCACTCTCGGTAATGATGATTTACACAATGGCGTCATTCGAACTTTGAGTAAAGGAAGGCAAGTAGACATTTTAATATCCAAAATACGCAACCAAACAGAAGACATCGAGCGACAGTTGAGGATACAAGCAGAAAGACAAATAAAAGAATCTGCAAACGTATTCGAAACTTATTTTAAGAAACTTGTACGTACTCGCAATGCTACTACAAATGCCGCAAGGAACATATGTCAACCTTTAGTGGGAGTCAACCTCGATATACGACAATAATAACTGGTGAAAAAATTGGCAGTACGATGGACTTTTACGATGGGAATTCTGAGTGTTTTACTTATTTTGTGTGTGATTTTTGTCATAGCAAGATACAACCGCTGCGCTCTTATAGCGTTTTCGGTGTGTGGACTGCTCGCCGTCATAGTGTCCTATATTATGACCAGTATTTATTTAGCTTTCAGTGTAGCTTTAAGCGATTTGTGCATGGCACCTAATAAATTTATCTAAGATCAGGCCAGTACCGAATTGTCGAACGAGATTCTAAGATATTATACCAATTGTAAAAGAGCAAGAGCCAATCTTTTTACCCAGAGATTAAGAGAAGCAAAAACGACTGTAGAGAACATGAGATCTAACCTATACTTTAGTTACTTATTCTGCATCTTAATGTAGTATCTATACGAAGGTATTGTGACTACGTTAGCAGTCACAATAGCCTATTGTATGTTCTTACTAATCCTTTAAAGTCAGGTATTGCCAATGTCGTGATGTTACAAAATGAGGAAAGCTTCTATTTGACTAAGTCACGGTTTCCTTTAACTTTTTACTAAGTTCGACATAAAATATTTTTAGTAACGTAAGGTAAAGCTTACCAGAAAACTTTGCAACAAACTAGCAACAAACAAATTTAGTTTGAATACAAAAAATTATTAGAAGTGGGAGAAAAACAGAGATTCAAAAGAACTAAAACATATAAACAAATAAATTTCAAAATATATTCATCAACACAAGAACACACAAACAAAAAAATTAAAGAATCCATTAAAAAAAAGGTATAAAAGTTATCAGCAGAAAGCTAACTGGGAAAAAGGAGATTTAGAAACTGAAAGACAAACATAGAAACGAAACAACTAACAAAAAATGATGACTAGAAATCACAAAACCATTTTATAAAGAATTATGCAGAAACCATCCACAACAACCTGAGAATAATCCACCATAAACCAAAAAGAGTAAAGTAGTAAATCTAGGGTCTAAAGAAATGCCGAATATAACAACTAGAAGAAGTAAGAAATGATTTAAAAGAAATGAAGAACAATAAATCTCACGGAAAAAATTAATTTGTGATAGAAGCAGTTAAAATGGGGAGTAAAATACTACTACAAGAAACTATTCTAGTACTAGTGTCTCTATTCATTCTATGCTTTAAAAATAGGACTATTCATTAAAATCACAACCAAGCGCCTGGATCGTATATTAGACTTTTATCAATCTAACGAGCAGGATGATTTTAGAAATGGATTCCGGACAAACGATTATTTAAAAACAATTAAGAAAGAAATAAGAGGAATATACCTAGTTGATCACTTGTATTAACGTTTATTAATTTACTTTTAAGCTTCCTGCAATACTAGCATTATTACAACAATACTGTCTTAATCATTGATAACCTCAGGGCTAGGCTAATTTTGGAAAACTGAGAGTCTGAGCTGTGGTCACATTAGCGCCGACACATTAACCTTGACAAAACGTTTAATAAAGAAACTGAGAGGTACGTAAAGAGGAATGGAAAAAGCGATATTAAGAGTTACCAGGCAAGACAGAATACCTAACTCCGACATAAGACATGGGACAAATATAGTTGATATTTTACAACTTATCACATAGTCTAAGCTAGATGTGCAGATCACATAATCTGAATAATGGACAGCTGTTGGATCAGAAAACTAATAACTTGAAGACAAGGGGCGTATTCTTTGCGTTTCCTAGCGTGGGCTTTTATGGAACGTGAGTTTAATATTGATAAAAAACTAATATTAACTTATGCTTGCGTACTTTCCAGACACCAAAAGAGATTATATTAAGGGGGTATTAGTAATCGAAATAAATGACTTAGAGTGGACTTTCGAGAATTAAACACGCTGTATTGGAAGCCCTATCATTAAATTCATTTTCCTTACACGTTTGTTTGCTTGTATGTTTCGATAAGAGAAAATTATGAGCATACCAAATTGTAAAATTTGAATATGCACCTTTTGTAAACACTATACGAAATAATTAAAGGCCAAAACTATTTTACATCTAAGAGAAGGAATTTCTAAAATATAACTTACCACTATCTTTTACCAGATACACTCCTGATTCTCTTCTGTAGCCTAAGTGGTCCTTAATCACGAACAACCAGTAATAAATCACATCACCTCTCTTTAACTTAGTCTGCCTATCTTCGAAGATCCATCTACCGCGTTTACTTTGAACTATATCCTGAGCGAATTGTCCAGCTTCTAGACCATTCATGGGCACATTGAGATTACCGTGAAAGGCAAACAGTTGAATACCTTCTTCTTGGGGAATGCTCACACGGAATCCTATCGGAAGCACCTTAAACCGCGGTTTCGGCACCTCGTAGTCTGTTGAAAAGACGGAAACACATTGAATGAAAAATACTAACGCTAATAGCTGCATAATTATGTACAACTTGTTCTGTAAGAGTGTCTGTACTACTTCGGGTTGTGGCGTTAAATTTTGTTTTATAATTACTATAATCTCAGTCACAATTTGCCAGTTGGTACATATTTGCAATTATTGCGTCCAAGGTTAGATGATGAGAAAATAAAAATCACAACGAAACCTTTACATTGATATTTTATATGAGGCAATCTGCTTTTGATACGTTAATGTTAGACGGTTCTTTAACCTCAGTTGCAAAGGTCATTTGATTGGTTAAATCTGTAAATATTGGTTATTTAAATTACGCTCATATTATTAAAAGTGTACTAGGAAAAACCAATACACTAAATCTAATATAAAAAAGTAAGGTGTATTGCTAGTTTATTGTGTCTTAATTAAATATTCTTACTAATTAAATACACATTAATATGCTAATTATGTATATATACAGTTAAGTGGAATAAAGTTTTGTAAACAATTCGAAAACTATTTTTCAAATAAAAGTATGGATAAATCCAAACAAAGCAAAATAATATCAATTAATATCAAAATAGTATAGTTTACTTTTTCTTCTTTCTTTCATTTTGATGTGCATACATTCATCTAAAGTCGGTTTTAGGCTCCATTAATGTTGTATGACAACCATTTTCTTGGATGTTCTATTTTCCTTTTATTTGTCTATTGGTATCTTTCACTGATATTTGTCTGGCATTTTTTCTATAAATTGTGTACATTTTTTGGTTCATGGCTTTTGTCTTCTTTTCTACATCTCGTTCCAATATTCTTATTTCTTTTTATGTCTCTCTTTGTTGTGTTTATTATTCTAAGATTATCATTTTTGATGTCTTTAACAATATTTGTGTTTTAGTTTTATTTTCCATCTCAAGTAATATATCTGATTATTCGTATAATATTCATTGTATATATTCTAGTTTCTTGAAATAATTATTTTTTTCCATACAGTTTAATTCCCGTTGCTTCCTTTCATTTATTCACATTTTATGGTACTTCTTTAATTATTTGTGGTTAGATAATTTTAATCTCAAATACTTTACTTTCATTACCTGCTCAATTATTGTGTACCTTGGTATGTGTTACGTTAACCACTAGTTCTTGTTGTGTTCATAAACTCTTTAAATATTTAAGTTTTCAAATAAACGCACATATTTTTTAAACATACAAATAATTTGTTTGTTTAAATAAGCAGGTATATAGAAAAAACTTTGACACAGTGACATTTTCACTTTAAAAATAATACTGAGCCGTCACCATGTGACTCACGTATTAACAACCAGTCCAAATATTTGCTTTTTTACTTTTTTTCGTAGAAATAACTGTGTTATGGTTATTAATGTATTAATGTAATATTAATAATGGAAAAATCTTTGGTATGTACTACGTTAACAATTTTATCTTGATGTAGGGCACGTAAAGCCGTCGGTCCTCCTCGGTTAGTGTGAATTAATACTGTTGTTGACACTAGTTTTTTGAAACATAGTTAAAATGAAATTGGAGCTAGAAAAATCCTAAATTATATTATTATTATATAGAAATATTTATATTTGTTGATGTATTTAGATGCAAGAGACAAAAGCTACGCATTATTTTTCCAATTAATAACCTACTGCTGTTTGTAAAATTTTTCACCAAAAAACTAATAATTCATAATGCTTCTACTATTTCTATATGAGATTTATTTTCCTTTGTAAAAATTGTTTTGCGTATATTTATTTTTATTAGATCAAAAGAGATTGCAATTTTTTCCTGTGTAAATATAGTGCTAATATATGGTGCTATTCTCAAAGTGTGACTAGCATAAAGGAGCTTTTATAAATAAGACTTTCGATGCTTGAATACCTTGCTTCTACCATATCAGCTTCTACTTGAGTCCCACAAAAGTGCAACTGTTTGGGAAATTTTGAATGTAAACCGAACATCAAGCATTTATTTTGAGCACCTTTATGCAAAAAGTTGTTTACGTTCTTTCGTTATTAAGTGAATTTAATATTGTACAAAATTATATATATCATCAATCAAATAATAAACGGATCAACTAATTACTAATGTTCTTAATATCACCATAGTCTCTGAAAATATTAATAGAAGTGTTCTGGTGGTAAGAATATAAAACTTTATACATAAATGCTCAAGTATATTCTCTCTCTTCAATCCTGACCCCCTAGGGGGAGTGTAGTGGTCGACGTGATGTCGTGTTTTGTCCGTCTCCAGAGATCTCTGTCTCTGGTCATTTCTTTTAATTCATGCATAGGTCTTTGGCATATTCCTGTAATTTGATCTATCCATCTTGTTGGGGATTTTCCTCTTGATCTTCGACCTTCTACCTTTCCTTGTATTATGAGTCTTTCCATGTTTTCTGTGTTTGCTCTCATAATATGCCCAAAATATTTTAATTGTTGGAGATGGACTTTACTAGAGAGTCGTTGGCTACTTTTAGCTCTCTTAAAATTGAAATATTTGTTCTACGGTCGGTCCAAGTAATTCGTAACATTCGTCTCCAACAGAACATTTCAGTGGCGTCTATTTTTTTTCTCTCCAATTGTCTCAGAGTCCAAGATTCACATCCGTAGGTCAGTATTGGGAATATTAAGCATTGAAATTTATCGCTCTTGAAATTTGGTATTCCTTCCATATTTTGATCATTTTCCAGTGGCAACTTTTGCTAGATCACATCTACGTTTAATATCTTCTTGTAATGACCCTGTGTTTGTGATTAATGATCCCAGATATAAGTATGAGCTCACAACCTCGAACCGGTCAATTGTGGTTATGTGTGGATGATTGTTGTGTAGTCTATCCACTATCATGATCTTTGTCTTTGATATGTTTATCTATCTATCTATCTAATTAGCCTTCTTCGGTCCATCTTTGGACATAGGCCTCCCCAATCCTTTTCTCAATCTGTCTTATATTCAGCAGGTGTTCTCGAGTGCCTCTACCTTTGGTAAATCCAGTTTGCTCTTGTGGAATTTCTCTTTGAAGGAATGTTTTTAGTCTCTCATTGATTATATGTAGTATTATCTTGCTGGCATGTATGGTTGTTATTGTAGATTTTGTCCAGTCTTTAGGCCATTGTTTGGAGTGCCATATTTGGTTACAGAGTAGATGAAGTAACTCTACGCCGGTTTCTTCTGTGGCTTTAAGCATTTCTGCTGTTATCATATCTGGACTTGGTGCTTTGTTATATTTGAGCTTGTTGATAGCCTGTCTCAAGTATATTAGCTAGGGAATAGTTTATTTAATATCAAAATTAGTACAGCCCATTTTAAAGATCAGTTATTGCTACACTTAGTAAAGTAATTCTTCCACATTTAGTTTTTGCATCTTACACTGTCTAGCTATAGAGACCTAAACAAAGAAGCGAGAGATCAATTACAAAAAGCAAATAGACTGGCACTATACCTTATTAACACTACATGGCGTAACAGGCATATTGACAGTGAGATGAAGTCAAGAATTTATAAAGCCAGTGTAAAACCAATATTAACATGCGCCTCAGAAAGAAGACCCGACACAGCCACAACTTATAAGCTACTGGAAACGGCAGAGATGAGAGTACTGAGAAGAATTAAAGGAAATACACTGAGAGATCGAAAGAGAAGTGAAGACATTGGAAGAAAATGTAAGAAATAACCACATTAGCAGAATGGAGAAGACCCGTGTCGTCAAAATAGCAAGAGATTAGTCACCAATCGGCAGAAGAAGTTTCGGAGGACTGCGCAAAAGATGGAGTGACAATCCTCCATAGGGGTATTCTCCGATAATGAACAAGCAGAATAGCACATAAAGAGAAAAAGGAAGAAGAAGAGAAGTTCTTGCATCGTGCCACAGCGTCAAAATGGGCCAACAGATTAATAAACAAGAAGTATTTTTATGTTAATTAATTAACTTCACTGTCCCTACGAGATGACTCTGTGCAGATCTCTAGCATTGTCTCCACTACGGAAATTTCTCTGTAGAGGCGTTTTGATCCTTTTATCCCTTTTGCTTTTATTACAAACAACTTTTCTGTAAGTATCACATAAAATACAGTGAAAGAGCTTTGTGTAGAGCTTTGAGAGAACCTAAGCTTAACATAGAAGCCCACACGAGAAGCAGTATTTAGTATTCAGGTTATGGTACAGAGATGCAGAGATGTCGGACATCCAGTTTATATGTGTTTTATTGACTTTGAGAAGACCTTTAATCGAGTAAAACATACTGAAATGATTCTTCAGCAGGTAGGTATTGATGATAAAGACCTACGCATTAATAAAAATCTTTATTGGCCAGAACGTGCAAACATCAGGATTGGCTGGGACACATCTGAAGAGCTTCAAATACGAAGAGGGCAGGGCTGCATTTTGTCCCCGCTACTATGTAACATCTATTCTGAGTTTGTTTTCAATAAATCAGTGGTTAATGTTTAATATGGTATAAAAATGAATAGTGCCAATATTAATAATTTGAGATATGCGGATGACACAGTGTTAATTGCAAGCCATTACGAAGAATTGTTTTCTATTAATTAGATGTTGAATAGGATTACCACAACGAGTGATGAATATGGCCTTAAACTACACCGCAAAGACAAAGATGATGGTCGTCAGTAAAACGCCAATACAACCGGAAGTGGTAACAGCTTATGGTGAACAACTGGAGAGAACTAACAGTATCACTTACCTTGGTTGTAATCTAAATGAGAACTGAGACATAAACAAAGAAATTAGAATACGGATAGAGAAGGCCAGAGCTACATTCGTTAAGATGAAGAAACTGTTATGTGGAAACAATATTACTTTAAGTCTGAAAATTAGATTAGTGAGATGTTATGTTTTCTCTACTCTTTTGTATGGTGTCGAAGGTTGGAGTTTGATGGATACACTTCTCAATAAACTGGAAGCCTTTGCAATCTGGGTGTATCGGAGAATCCCACGAATAAGTTGGGTGGATAGAGTTCGTA